TGGAGTTCAACCCCCAGCATCATACACACACACACACATACTCGCACACCAACCCATGTTGACACATACAGAAATTAACCTCATCCTCAGGGAACCATGATAGAATCATCTGACTTCTAGTTCTAGATTTTTTTTTTTTCTTCCTGGCTACTCAAAGTGCTGTACATCACAGACAGCCTGCTAGACCTGTAGAATCTCCTCTATACTCTACACTTGACGCCATCAGTCTTAACATCATCACTAACGTCTCTTCTCTCCACTAAGAATTTCATTTGCTGTGTAGAGACTTTTTACTTTGATGAAATAACCGAATCATGCCTGGCCTAATCGAGCTTGATTGCTGGATTCAATCACTTTTACTTAATCAAGCTTAAATTACAAACTGCATTTTTACAAGATCCTACTTGATCCATCTGAAGAATCAAGTTTGAGAAGCACTGGATGCATCATGGGAAATTGTAGACCTTCCAGAGCAACTCTACTCCTGTTGCCTGTGTTGTATTTTTTTTTTCCCCCTAGTACTGGGATTGAATCCAGGGCACTGCACATGCTAGGCAAGCCCTCTAACTCTGAGCTATGTTCCCAGCCCCTTGCCAGCATTATAATCAGTTTATCTAAATGACTTTAAATTTGCCATTCTGTTTTCATCCTAAGGATGTGGAATTATTCTTGTCCTTTTTAAATGATAAAAAATTGGGCACACGTATGATGTGTAGCATAATGTTTTGACATATGTGTACATTGTGAAATAACTATATCAGGCTCAATAAAATCACTTTATATAGAAATTTTTGTTGTTGTGAAAACACTTAAAAATCTATTCTTTTAGCAATTTCCACGTACCTAATATATTGTTAATAACTATATTCACCATGTTGAACATCAGACCTCTTGAATTTATTCCTCCTTTCTAACTGAAAATATGCTTCTTTTGACAAATATTCTCAGCCCCTGATAGCCTTCAAGGTTCTCTGAGTTTAACTTTTTTTTAAGATTCCACATATAAGTGAGGTCACGTGACATATGTCTTTCTGTATCTTGTTTAAATCACTGAACACAATGTCCTTCAGTCTTTCCATGCTGTTCTAAATATCAGAATTTCCTCTTTCAAAGGTTGAATAGTATTCTACTATGTAGATACATCACATTTTCCTTATGCATTCATCTGTTGATGGACACATAAATTGATTTCATACCTTGGTTACTGAAAACAATACTGCAATGAACATGGGAGCGCAGATGTCTCTTTGACACGTTGATCTCATTTCCTTTGGATATATATCCAGTAATGAGATTGCTGGGTGATGTTAGTTCTATTTTTAACTTTTTGAGGAACCACCACACTGTTTATCATAAATGGGTTACTGATTTACATTCCATCAGCAGTGTACTAGGGTTCCCTTTTCTCTGCATTTGGCCAACACTTATCTTTACTCCTTTTGGTAATAGCCATTCTAACTGGTGTGAGTAGACGACATTTTAAAAATATTCTATTTTTTGTTGTAATTGGACACAATACCTCTTGTTTATCAATATATTTTTATGTGGTGCTGAGGATAGAACCCAGGGCCTCACACATGCGAGGCAAACACTCTACCACTGAGCTACAACCCCACCTCCAGGATAGTATCTTATTGTGGTTCAGTTTGCATTTCTCTGATTATTAGTGACCTTGAGCATTTTTTTGTACATCTGTTGGCCATTTGTTTGTCTCTTTTTGTTTTGTGTGGTTCTGGGGATTGACACTAGAGGTGCTGTACCCATGAGCTACATCTCCAGCCATTTTTAAGTTTTAATTAAAACATATATTTTTTCATATATTTTTTGACCATTATGTTACTAGCGCTGCCCTTGAACTTCTGACCCTCCTGACTCCAACTTCTGAGTTACTGCAATTTCAGTCTTGTGCCACCAGGGGCAGATTTTTTCTTCTTCCTTTTGCTTTTTTCTTGTTCTGGAGATTGAACCTGGGGTACTTAACCACTGAGCCACATCCTCAGCAGTTTTATTTATTTTGAGACAGGGTCTTGCTAAGTTACCTAGGGCCTCCCTAAATTGCTGAAGGTGGCTTTGAACTTGCCCTCCTCCTGCCTCAGCCTCCCAAGACACTGGGATTACAGGCATTATGCCACTGCACTTGACTTTTTTCTTCTTTTGAAATTATCTACTCAGGGACTTTTCACTTATTAATTGAGTACTTTGTTTGTTGCTTCAGTTTGAGTTCCTAGTATGTTTTGGATATTAACCCATTATCAGGTGTGTGGCTTTGCACATATTTTCTTCCACTCTGAAGGTTGCCTCTTCCCTCTGTTGAGAACTTCATTTGCTGTGCAGAAGCTTCTTATACTTTGATGAAATCCTGTTTGTCTATTTTTACTTCTGTTGCCTGTTCTTTTTGGGGTCATGTCCAAAAAATCATTGCTAAGATTAATGCCATGGAGAATTTGTATCTTCTTCAACTTCTTTCATCTTGGTTTTTGTTTTCAGTGTAGAGACCTCCCACTTTTTTTGTATTCCTAAGTACTGAAATGTGTTGTTTTCCTAAGTACTGAATATTTTAGTATGGTAGAAGCCATCTTAATATGTTTCTTAGAAATTGCAGATGCACTACAGGGCCTGGTGGTGCATGCCTGTAATCCCAGTGGCTTGGGAGGCTGAGGCAAGAGGATTTCAAGTTCAAAGCCAAAGCCAGCCTCAGCAACTTAGCATGGCCCTAGCAACTTAGCAAGACCATGTCTCTAAATAAAATATAAAATGGGCTGGGGATGTGGCTCAAGAGTTCCGCATCCCTGGGTTTAATTCCCGGTACCAAAAAAAAAGCATATTTAGTGGCAATTGATTAGCATTTTCAAATGTTCACGGTGGAATCAGTATACAAATCTCTTCATAAAAAAGAAAAAAATTTGGAGAATATACTTTCATTATATATAGTGAGTTAAAAAATATTTAGATGGGGTAAAGAACTACATAAAATTGTACATAATGAAGAGTAAGTTTCCATTTCATCTTTTCTTATTCTTTTAGTTATATATGACGATGGAATATACCATGACACAATTATAAAAGCAAGAAATACAATTGTTCTAATTCAGTCCCTGATATTTCCTCTTCTCCTCCCTTCTTCCCTCCCACTGTTCCCTTCCCTCTACGCTACTGATCCTTCTGCCATTTATAGTTTTTTTTTTTTAAATTAGTATCTTTTGGATGTACATGATGGTGAGATTCACTAAGGCATATCCATTTATGTACATAGGAAAGTTATGTCCGATTCATTTCACCGTCTTTCCCTATTCTCATCCCTCCTCCCTTCCCTTCATTCTCCTTTATCTAATCCTCTGATCTTTCTTCTTCTTCTTCTTTTTTTTTTACCTACTTTTATTTTGGATTAGCTTCTTCATATCAGAAAACATCAGACCTTTAACTTTTTGGAGCTGGCTTATTTCACTTAGTATGGTGGTCTCCAATTCCATCCAGTGACTGGCAAATGCCATAAAGTCATTGTCTATGGCTTGTGTATATACACCACATTTTCTTTATCCATCCATCTGTTGAGGGGCACCCAGATTGACTCCATAGCATAGCTACTGTGAATTGTGCTGCTATAAACACTGATGTGGCTGGGTCACTACAGTGTGCTGACTTTAAATCTTTTGGATACATATGGAGGAATGCAATGACTCTATCAAAAGGTGGTTCCATTCCTAGTTTTCTGAGGACTCTTTTTTTTCCCGAGTGGTTACACCAATTTGCAGTCTTACCAGCAATGCATCCCCACCTCCTCACCAATATTTGTTAATTGTATTCTTCATAATTGCCATTCTGACAGAAGATGAAATCTCAAGTGTAGTTTTAGTTTGCAGTTTCCTAATTACTAGCAATGTTAAACATTTTTTTTTCATATATTTTTTCACCACTCATATATTTTTTTTTTCATTTGAGAAGTGTCTATTTAGTTCCTTTGCAGGGAAATGGTATTTATTAACCAAGTCACCAAACTTAGTTTGAATTAAGGAAACTCCAGGAAGGGCCTTAGCAAGATAAAATTGCAGTTGCACTCTATCCTCTAACTTCTTTTCTTTTGTGTAAAGACATAAGGGCCTTCTGAGAGGGCAAATTGTTTTCCTAAAAAGCCTCAACACATCTGAAATTTAGCCTCTTAAACCTAAGGCTTGTTAACACCATGACTTATAAAACATGTTCAGACTTGGATTCATAAACATGTGAATGGAGGCCATGTTAGTTTATATGTTGATCTTTCTATTAAGATGTGAGGTCATTTTTTTTTCTTTTTTGTTCTTCCAAACTATACATGCTCTGGAAATCTTTTGGGTTTATGAGAAAACAGGCCAGTCTCTTCATCTTCCATGTTTGCTTCCATGAAGATGCCTCTGGCCTTTTCTCATTCATCTCAACATAGATCTGTTTCTCCCATATCACCACCATGACTAATGCAGAGCCAAGATGGCTCCATTTTTCTGTTTACTTTTTGCTTCACAGACTTACTTCTAAACTCCTGGGCTGTGTGGGAAGAGGAAATACAAGGCTCAGGGTTCTGCCTCTCTCTGGAAAATGTTGAGTAGGTCACTCTCGCTGGGATGCAGTTTATGGTTCTATAAAATTAATGACCTGTAGCACCTGTTAAGATCCCCTTTGGTTCTAAGTCATAATAATGCCACAGATAGGATCATAGGATTTCTTTGTTTGGCATTTTAAAAATGCCAGAATGCTGCACAGATTTTATCAGATGTTGAATGAAAACAGAAACAAAGAGGAAACAACCATACAAGGAAAAAGAGACACTGGTATCCAACCCAGAGACTCAGAGAGCACACAGGAATGGAGAACTACACACCCCACAACCAGGGCATTCTGCATTTCTTAATCAGTGAATACCAAACTGATATTTGAACTGTGCCAACAGTTCCATTTAGACCTACTGAGAAAAAGAATAAAATGTATGATAATATCAACACTGATCAAAACAAAAAAAATCCATTTCATTGTAGAGAAAGTCACAGCATTTTATTTGAGTTAGTCTATTTCATTTATTCATCTGCCACGTTGTTCTGGGCACAATTATTGTCATTATTAGTGTCATTTGGAGACAGCTATGCTTTAAAAAAAATCTGGGTTGGATCTCCATGATGCTTAATTCCTGGTCAAATTTTTTTCTTTACTCAAAAATAACCCCTACTCCAAGAGGAAGATCAGGAAAGACTGAGATATATTTGCAAAAAAAATTATGTCCGCTAAAAACAATTCATAGCTCATGATCTCTCACGGGGGCTTTCTTTTTGGGGAGAGTTGTTTCTTCTAAGTGTTTTCTAATACAACAACCTGTCCAAGGAATCACAAAGGGAAATGAGAAATAGCTTCCAGAGAACAAGCAGATGCTCTCCTCAGAAGGAGCCCTAATGTCTCCTAAGTGTGATGGTGCCATTCTGCCAAGGTAAAGGGACAGAGATAGGGGACCTCTCTCCCCAAAGGCCAGTAGAAATAAAGTACATTCAGGTTAATCAGGGAGGTAGTAATCAGCTGGAAAACCCAGAGGTTAGCATCTCTAGAAAGGAATGTGGGTGTGACCGAGTAAGCTAGGGCTGGATGAAGAAAGTGACAGACAGCAGGAGACTGGGGAAAAATCCATATTTCCCCAGAGAACCACCTGATGCACAGGTGGGAACAGGTGCCCCAGGGAAAAGGACAGCTGCCTGAGTTGTGGCCCTGAATTGAAAGGGCAATCTAGCAGTGGCCATCACACTCTGCCTACCACAGAGCACTGTATTCCTGGGGCCACGTGCAGGGAAGGATCACTGCTGGCTGGCAGCATCAGGGAGACCCTGTCCTGGTCCTCTGCTCTGGGTTCTCGGCAGGTCTTTTGGGCCTTTACATAATTGCTTAGTTGAGGAGATAAGATCTTGCCTCACAGGTGTCTAAAAAATGTATTATGGAAGTGTCAATTCATTTTGGTTCAGAAAGGTGAGAACAAATTTAGAAGAGATGCTTTACTCAGAAACAGGGAGCACAGACCCACCAGCAAGCAAATCTAGTACTCCTTTCAGCCCTGAAGACAGAGAGGGACCAGCACAGCCAAGGGCCTCAGAGAAGGAGGCTGCAAGTCTGCTGCCATTCAAGTTTTCTGTAGAACGTGGAAAACCAGAGTTTTTTCTTATTTCTTTCTTAGATAACAACTAGTCAACTCACGCTCAACCCGAGCATATGGAAGAAAAATGAACACTGAGAGGGTCTTAAATACCTTTGTAGGACAGACACTTTTAGAATGTAGAAAGATCATCAAGTAAACAGAGCACCCCCAAAAGAGAGTCTGAATGCGAAAGCGGAGAGGAAGTTTTTGCTTTCTCCTTTAACTGTGTTTTTGGCGCTTTGGCCTGTAAGCAATCAAGATGGAGAGAGATGCTATCCCAAAGAGGAAAGTCTGCAAGAACCAGAGTAGTTGAGCCCGACTGTCTGTGATTCCTTTATACCTGAAAAAGAAAGAACAAAATTCAGAAACCAGAATTGTCATTTTATGGGGGTTACTGACTTCTCTATTTTTTTCATTTAGCACTTCCATCTACTTTCAGGTTTATTTTGCTGTTTTTCTCTGAAGGGGAAAGATGGGTTCATTTACTTTTCATCTCTCTTGTTTTCTGATAAATGCATCTTAGATGGTACACCTCCCTGGGAACCAGTCTGCCTGCTCTCTGGGTACAGTATTGTACAACTGTTTCTCATGTGATTCTGATCAGTGGATAGGTAATCAGCATTAGCAGGGCATCAGAGCAAGTCTTTTGAAGACAGACCAGAAGAGAATCCCAGCTTTCCACCTACTAGCTGTGACATGGAAAATCACTCAGTTTTCTCATTTGAAAAATAGGAATAGTAGTTTCTAACTCACAAAATTTTGACGTGATTGGTAAGATAATATACTCAAAGGGCTTAGGAAAGAGCTTGGTGCATAGTAATAATAATCACCTGCTCACAGAGTCTTTAAAATTAAACTGGTTAAAACAAAACTCCAATTAATAAATAAGAAAACTGATCTAATTGAAGGAAATTTTAGTCTCATCTGTAATATAAATCTTATTTGGATGACTTTTTATTTAAAACAAACATCACATATAAAAGCATATAGTTTTCAACACTAACAGACTTAAAAGGACCATAAAGAATCTTAGTAAATTCAAAAGAAGCATTTGATAAATTTTATCATCTATTCTTAATAAAAGTTCTCAGCAAACTTAGAAATACAGTGGAGCTTCCGAAATTTAATAGAGGTCTACAGAACTCTAGAAGAAACAATTCCTATAACATGATACACAGAGAGGTTTTTTGTTTGTTTGTTTGTTTTGTACTGGGGATTGAACTGAGGGCCACTGAGCCACATTCCCAGCCCTATTTTATATTTTATTTAGAGACAGGGTCTCACTGAGCTGCTTAGCACCTTGCCATTGCTGAGGCTGGCTTTGAACTCGTGATCCTCCTGTCTCAGCCTCCCAAGTCACTGTGATTTCAGGCTTGTGCTACTGCACCTGGCAGAAGGCTTTCTTTTAAGATTAGGAACCATGCATAATGTCTACTACCACCACTTTCAGTTGACACTGTAAATATAGCCAGCACACAAAGGGAAGAACCAACCAAAGGTACATAAAATTGAAAAGAAGAAGTGCAACTATCTAGACACAATTGTATATGTAGAGACTATTAGAATTAATAAATGGACTAAATAAATAAATGGACTTAGCAAGGTTGTTAGATATCAGGGTGATATATAAAAATTGATGATATCCACACAGACTACCATCAAACAATTAGAAAAGGAAGAAAAGTCATTTATAATATCATCTGAAAGTAGAAACAGCTGGCCATAGTCAATAAATGAATAAACAAAGATGTAAAATACCTCCTAAAATTACAGAACTTTATTGATATATTATAGGAGATTTTAATAGATGGATACGGATCATTTCATGTTTAGAAGATGCAGGAATGGAAATGTCAGTTCTCTTCAAATTAATTCGCATGGTGAATACAATAATGATCTCAACAGGTTTAGATTTTTGCTTTTGCAGCATATGACAAGGCATAAGAATGTGTAAAAGTCCAGGAGCAGCCTCCTTCTTGAACAAGAAGGCAAGAGGACGTGCTTTATCAGCTGTCAATGATCATAAAGCCACTACTACTGACAGAGCCATGTTGTCCCAAGAATGAACACACAGACCAATGGAGCAAAACAGGAAGCTTAGAAACAGCCATACAGAAATATACATATGATATAAGACAGGTACATCAATGGAGATTGAATTCAATCACAAATGGCCCTGGGAGGACTGAGCATCCATATGGAAAAAGGTGACGTCAGAAACATCTTTCCCACTCCCAAATAAGTTCCAGGTACATTAAAGGCATAAATGTGAGAGGCAAAGTTGTAAAACTCTTTTAGAAGACACTGTTAAAGAATACTTTCATCATTTCAATACAAAGAAAAAAAAATAAATTTGATTACACTGATCAACTTCTATTTTTCAAAAGATCTACCAGAAGAAAAAGACCCAGAGAAAGAATATTTGCAAAACATCTAAGTGGCAAAGTAGTTAAATAAAGGGGGAAAAGAAAAAAGTTCCTATAGATGGATAAGAAAAGGGCAATTACCCAATTATAAAAGTGTTAGTGTGGGTGGTGTAGGCCAAATGTACCAAAGACATATTTATTGCAATACAGTTTATAATGGCAAAACAATTTAGAGACTTAAAAAGTTGATCAGAAGGGAACTTTCTTCAATACATTAAGGCACATTCACATAATAGAACACTATGCACTAATATTAATGGATGGAGTAAAATTCACATGAATAGACACAGAAAAACAGGGATATGTAACTATGGAAAACTGTTAATAGAAGAAGTTCTATGTATGTGTAAAATTATTTATAAATGCATAAATCGTAATGATAAATATTAAACTTTTAATAATGACTATTTTGGGGGATTTTAGGAGACCTTTAAATTTTCATTTCATTTAATCTTTTTTTTGCAGTACTAGTGATTGAACTAGGGCTGTACCAGCCCTTTTAATTTTAAATTTTGAGACAGGGTCTTATTAAGTTGCTGAGGCTGGCTTCGAACTTAGATCTTTCTGCCTAACCTTCCCAGTCACTGGGACTACAGGAGTGCACTACTGCACCTGACATTACCAAGAAATTAATTTATTTATTTTGATTGCTGAAGATCGAATCTAGGGCCATGCACATGCTAGATAAAAACTATACCCCTGAGCCACGTCCCTAGCTTTAACATGAAATTGTTAAAAACATAGAAAAGGAGCTTAATATTATGATTATGGTTGACATAAAGACAAACATCGTCCAATCCTATCTCTGGTTAAGAGGAATTTACAAAAAATGTATTGAATTTATACCAAGGTGCCAGATGCTCAGTAAATTATGCCTCTCATAATTATCTAGAATCAAGGATATTGTCAGCTGGGTGCAGTGCCACAGGCCTGTAATCTCAGCAACTCCAAAGGCTGAGGCAAGAGGATCTCAAGTTCAAAGTCAGCCTCAGCAACTTAGTGGGACCCTAAAGTGCCCTGGGTTCAGTACCCACACTGTTTTGTGCATACTACTTATTCAATTAAAAATTTCACATGCATGAAAAAAGGAATCCACCAAAATGTTATATGTAGCTATTTCTGGGTAGTAGAATTTGGGAGGCTGCAATTGTACTACAGGTTTTCACTTATTTATTTATTCTTTCATTTATCTTATAATTCAAAAGGAGTATTTATTCTGATTTACAATCCAACAGATTAGGCCACGATTTCAAGAACCAACTTCTCCATGTCTAACCTCCCTCTGCTCTTCAAAAGACTGATAAAAGAATGTTAAAAATTGAGTCTTTAGGTTTTTTTTTTTTTTTTTAAAGAGAGAGTGAGAGAGGAGAGAGAGAGAGAATTTTTTTTAATATTTATTTTTCAGTTCTCGGCGGACACAACATCTTTGTTGGTATGTGGTGCTGAGGATCGAACCCGGGCCGCACGCATGCCAGGCGAGCGCGCTACCGCTTGAGCCACATCCCCAGCCCGAGTCTTTAGGTTTTCATTAGAGGTTCCAAATGCCATTACAAAATAAGAGTTTTTTTAAAATACACATATCTAGTTTCCATACCCAGAGATTCTGATATGGTATGTGTTGCTTCACACATAGGAATGTTCTTTCTTAAAGTTATACAGATAATTCTGGGCCACAATGCAAATGTAAAGCCCCCAGACTAGACCCTATTCAGCAGATACCAGTATAGGTTAATACCACATGAGAAAGATCTCTTTAAAAATTCTCTTTAACCTGTATTAGAAAAAGGTTCTCTGCATATTTGACTTTGCATAAGCATATACAGAAATGCTGATTCAAAGGATAAGATGGTTATAATAATGCCATCTATACTCTGGCAGTCTAAGTTCAAGGACTGGGCCAAACAACTCTAAGGTAAGATTTCACTAAGAAGCTGAAGAGGCCATTGGAAGAGGTACCTGTATGCTCTGACATTTTCTGTGTCAAGTCCAGAGAATGGCTTCAAGAGAACCAGTTGGAGAGATTGATATGAGCCCTTGAGATTTGAAGAAAGGATTAGTAGCTGACTCAAAAGTATTAAGACTGTTTTAGTCTGCTGGGTGAAAGAGCAAAGAAACTAGCTGTACTGGGAACTGTACACAATTGCAGATTATCACCTGGAAGGATAAGGAAATCAGCCAGCCAGATTTTTTTAGAAGGGTACTGGACCTGGTTAATTTCGAAGGAACCCTGCCTGAAAGGCCCAAATGAAGCATAGATGTGATCTCAATAAAAGGGTAAAAGTCTTTCTCAAAACAGGTCCAGAGGTAAAAGTACAAAGTGGCATGCTGGAGGAGGCACCAGGAAAAACCATCAAGGGAAATGCAAAGGGAGATCCACAATGATAAGCAATTTCCTCCCAATTCACCAAAGGCCCTCTAGAGAAAAAGAGTCTACACTGAATTTGCAACATAGATAGCACCCAAATAACTGATCAAGAGACTGGGCCTGTTTCCCTAACCATTCCTACCATTCCAAGGAAGGCACAAGCAGGCTCCTGAGCCATAGCTGGATAGGAGCTGACATTTTGAATTAGAAGAAGCTTACAGTTTTAACAAACAGACTAGATGAGAGTGGACAATTACAGATAGTGACTAAAAAACCCACAGATCTGTCTGAGTTTCATCCAGGGCTATAGCGGGGGTGCGGGGGAGACAGAAAAATTCATGGGGTAAATTTACCTGGAGAGGGGTGAAAAGAACATAGTTGTTTTCTGCTCTTTTGGTAGAAAGCCCAGTGTGTTTAATAACAAGAGGATAGAATACCATAATCTATACTTAGCAGTTTCTTGCATGGTATGCACCCACTCAATGTTAATTATTTTTATTATTAAAATATAGTGGTAATACAGTGTCTGACTTTGCACTTTTAGAAGTAATACAACAATAATAGAAGTAATAATTAATCTGGGTCATACAAAGATATTAATTTCAAAGAAATTAAGCATTAGGATAATCATCTTTGTATCATAATTTCTGTATTTGCTTATGCAAAGCACAAACGTAAAGAGAATTTTTTTTCTAGTACTTTCACACCGTATTAACCTACACTGGAATCTGATGAATTGTATTGTGCTCCAGAATTATCTGTGGAACTTTAAGAAAGATCATATGCCTATGTCTGAAGCAAGACCTACCAGATCAGAATCTCTGGGTCTGGAAACCACACTTATATATTTCATAAAAGCTCCTCAGGTGACTCAGTTGTGACACTAGGACTGTGAACCATTGACCTACATCAATAACTTAGCTCTTTTTTCAAATTAGAAGGAAGCCTAACCTTTTGTTCTAGTTGGGGCCACACAGTTTTGAAAACATAACAAAAGTCATCTCAATTAGATAACTAAATAAATGATTAACAAACAAACTGAATTTATTCATCAAACATTTACTGAGTACTCCATGTCAGGTTCAGTACTAGGTATGGGGATTCAGATCTAACCTGAGAGTGTTCTCATCCTACAAGTATATAAATTATTGAAATGTGGCTACTCTCATCTTCCATTAGATACCATGAGAAAGGTGACAAAGACCTATTGCAAAGACTTACTTGCACAATACCATGGCATATAAGGACTCTCCCACGTGAATCAGCCAGGCAAGCCAATACCTGAAACAGGGAAAACAAAAACATTTTGACTAGTTTAAGGTGATAGCTACCAACTGATGAAATCTAACAAGAAATCTTAAAAAGAAAGGTGTCTTAATGTGAACTAGCAACACTTGTTAGATATCTAACAGCAATTGCAGGCTTTTCAGGTCTCCAGTGAGACCAGTGCTGTAATGTCCACAACTGGTTTCTGCAGTTCTCCTTACCCATTATGCAGGAGGGTGTGATGGTGGTTCACCAAATACTGAGTAAAGTAGCCCAGAGGTCCAAGGCTCTGATAAGGGACACTCTGAGGCCAGAGGACAACACACTGAAAGAGAAGCAGAAGTACAAAGTATCTTTTAGATCATTTAAAAGATCAGCAATTATTTATTTTTGAGAGCAGCTATGAAATAATACTGATTCTACAAAACAACTCAGACTGTAAAAACTCTGAACAGCATCATTTGGACCTCCATTTTTTTTTTTTTTTTTTGAGGTGGTGGAGATTGAACCCAGAGGCTTGTGCATGCAAGGCAAGCACTCTATCAACCGAGCTATATCCCCAGCCCTTGGTCCTTTACTTTTTTAAACATTTATTTATTTATATGTGGTTTTGAGGATGGAACCCAGGGCCTCACACACTGAAGGCAAGCACTCTACCAGAGTCACAACTCCCGCTCTGGTCCTCCATTTTTAAATTTTAATTTACAAAAGTGACTATACTGCGATGTGTATGCAGAGGAAACTATGTGGTTATCAAACTCAATGCCCAGGGTGGCCAACTCCTAATCTTATTAATGAATTTCAGCAAAACATTATTTTACAGAGGTCATTAACATTTTTTTAGTTTATGTTCCTTGACTAGCTTTTTACTGAAGAAACTACAGCTTGAGCCAAAGCCCCATTTAATGTAAAACTTCTGTCTCTTCCTTCACTTGTGTACTTTTAAAACTGGAAATGATTCACTGCACAAAGATGAAAAATAGGTAAGATTCACTTTGTGAAGTTATAATAGCAATTACTTAAACACATGAGGTTTCTATAGTAAAATTATCAACTTTTCTTCAGCCTATGTTGTAATCTCTACCAGCTTAGTTTTGCTTAGTTTTTTGAGAATTGTCAACAGTGTCAAAGTTTATTCATCTCTGTCAAGAGAAATACTGTTTCTCCCAAGATGCTCTTTTCCATATAAAATTAAAACAAAGCATGAATTATCAGGGCAAACAAAAACAAATAAAAGGAAGTATACAGCTCCATGATAGCCCCATGTGAAGTCCTCAAAGCTTTTCCCCCTTTGGATTCCACCTAATCAGAGAGTCAAAATAGCACAACAGAAATGCACCTTTGAAAAGTTTCAATTCAATGCCTTCATTTTACATATGGGGAAATCAGGACAGTGGTGGTCACACTTGACACCAAACAACACCGTGGACATGAGGACTCCCCAATCTTCAGAATCCCTCCTGGGCAATAGTCAAATAGCTTTGCCTTCCTTCATATTTACATCAATTTAGCTCCCAAATATTTCCTAGCATTTTTCCCATTAAATAAACTCTCAGCCCTACAAAAGACGTGCTTCCTCTGTAGAGCTTTCTTGCTGCCACATCTATGCCCAAACAGTTAGTTATATCCTCTTTATTTCTTTTGAGCAATTTAATCCTGCCCATTGTTCAGCTTTATCCCCATTTTCCAAGCCATTCCAACTGCTTCAAACATTCTGCTTCGGAAGTCCTATCTTGAGCTGACAGGGCTATGGAAGTCTGTCAACTTGACTTCTTTATTCTTTGTGAGAGGCTCAGACTCGGTTAAGCCTGAATAACCAACTGCACAGGGAGCCGGAGCACAAGGGCAGTAGCCCTCTAAAGCAGAAGATTTCCCAAGAGCCCAGGGAACTTCCGCTTACACCAGTAACGTGGGCAACCGTCAGGAGCGCAAGCGCAGAACCTCACTCCCACAGCAACCCTCGCCCAACGAAGGCCTGACCGGCCCAAACCGATCTACCGCCCGCCCCAGGACTCACCGAGAAGTATCCCAGCGTCAGGGCTGTGACCAGCGAGGGCAAGGGTCTGGCTACACGGAAGTAGGAGGTAGCGTCCCTGCCGACCTCCGACTTCCCCTCCACCATCTTGAAAGACCCAGGCACTGAGTTCCCGGGTGGGGAGCTTGCTGGCGTCCACATAGGGAAAGCCTGGCGAGCCGGTTTCTTAGAGCCTTGAGCACCCGCCCAAGGCCCTGCTGAGGACTAATTCTTCAGCATATCCTCCCCAGGTCTCGGCCCTCCCCACCCCATCCAAACGCGCTGGAGCCAGGACTGCGCCTGCGCGGACCCCCTGCAGGCGAGTCCTGAGACCTTGCAGCACTACCTCTGCTCCCTGGGTGGGTGGCCCTTGCCCTTACCGTGTAGTAGCCGAAGGAGAGGGTAATGACTGTGAACCAGAACAGACTGCCCCTCCGGAAGTAGGCTGCACCACCTGCTACGGTCGCCATCGCTGCAGCGTCTCCAGGGGAATGAGCGGCCACCCAGTTCCGCGCGGGAGTGGGAGCTGGATCGGACCTGGGCTGGGCGAGGGAGAGGCGTGCGCCACCGTGTGGGGGTGAAGACAGAAATCAGTCTCTCTAGTGCATTCCCTCCTCCTCTCTCTCTTTTTGGCACCTGGGATTGAACCCTGGGGCGCTCAACCTCTTGGATCTTCTGAATAAGTATTTTCTCAGTTTTCCTTTTACTTCTTATCCCCCAGATTCAAGATTGCCTGTGTTCTCTGTGCTTTCTGTACATTTGAGATTCAATTTTCATCTCCTTTTTCATGACTCTAAAATGCTCTTTCTAATCTTGACATCTCCCCAGATACTGCTAGTCGCTTTCACCAAATAACCTGCACACATTAAAAACAGTCTACGCTCACTATTCACAATCAGTTCTGACTACAGCTCCCCTATTTATGTAAATAGCACTCTCCTTCTACGCTGTACCCCCCATACCTAGTTAACTGTAGAGAATCCTCTTGTTGGGGTAACATGACATCTCATTCTTTTGGATTAAACCATGATTTGTTTAATCCCCACTCTTTCTGGGTTATTCCTTTCTGATTTTTTTCTCCCTCAACAACCACATGCACAACATTTATCAAATCTACAAATGACAGGGTCATCTTCAGGTGTAGTTCTGATTAAGGTTTTCATTTTGCTTTTTTGGAACTTTTCTAATGCTTATTTCTTGTTTGAAAACATTTTTCTTCAGATATTAAATCTGAAGCAAGGGAGACATTGGAGAAATAATTCACTTTAGAAATAATTCAACAAAATGGCTTGGGTTAATGGACTAGAGAGCTAAATTTTAGTTTTATAACGTCTGAAAACCAGGAATTGGTGGGAAGAGTGAGTGCATCTCACATTCGAAGGATCTTATTGCCTATCATGCACACATCAGCAATCCAGATACCATATAAGATTATTACTTAGATGTCAGTAGTTTTTGTCATGTTCAGAAAGGCTTCCTCGCTTCCATCCAATTTGACTTTTACAAGGGACAGGGAACTTGAATTGTGTAACCTCAAGACATCCTGCGCTGTTGTCCCCTCTGGGCTGTGGTCCCCTCTGGGCTAGCAGAGGACTTTCTTACCCCTGGACACTTCTCCTTTCAGGATGGTTTGATGACCTAAACATGGAAAACAAAAATTGTTTCTTTTTCCCATAAGATTGGCCTACAAGGTATGAAGACACACTATAAAGGACTGTAGTAATAAAAATTTTTGGTATTTGACATGCAAAACCAACAAATAGATCAATAGGAAATAATACCCACTAATAGAACTCATATATCCAAGCACTTATTTTATGATGAAGGTAATACTTCAAATTGAGGAGGAAAAATGGGCAATTAGCTAAATTATTGTGGGACAATTAGCTAACTATTTGGGTCTCACTAATTTGCTAGAGCTGACCTCGAACTTGTGATCCTTCTTCCTCAGCTCTCGGAGTTGCAGAGATTATAGGCACAAACCCACCATGTCTGACCTAGTTATCTTTGAGAGTAAAAATGTTTTAAACTTTGCTCCCATCCCCAAACACAAATTCTCAGTGCAGTATCACAGGGTACAGAGAAAAATAGTACCCTTGGTGTTCTGATGAGATGGCTAGAGAGTAGAATAGCCATGTGCCATGATGTAGCAAACCCCTTCTTCCACGCTTCTTCAGGAACATAATGGGGGGAGCATTTAAATAAATTTTTAAAAATAAAAACCAAACATCATGTGTCCAGACAATCAGGAGCAGTATTTTTATTTCATTTTTTTTTTTGGCTTGAAGAAACAAATGTGAAATTGAGTGAAGGAAGATGAGGATGGAAAAGCAGGAAGGGTCCTGATCATGAATGACACTGGGTAGCAGCCTGTTATGATCCTACAGCCCAAGCAAGTTAGGGAAGGTTTTTTTGTTTGATTGTTTCGCACCTGGGAATTGAAAATGTCTGTTGTACATGGGATGAAGGTGAAGTTGGAAGCAGGGAAAAAGAAAAATTAACAAAGCTTTACATGATGGGAATGGAGGAAAGATTTCATCACTCCCTCAAATATGGAAGAAATGTTTCTGCAGGCCCATTTAGTGCAGAGGTAATGCTTTATCCCAGAGATACAACAGTGAAGAAGACAAATGCAGCCTGGGGCGCTCAGGTTAGGTACAATGTAGGTCAGCTGACAGGAAAATCAGTAATAGGGATTAACTAGAGACAAGTGTGTCTGTGTTGCATTGATCCTGTATTCAGGGATTGTGACCAGGAATGTCCTCAGGTCATTGGATTAAGTAAAGAACAAAGGAGGCAGGGATAATCAGTAAGGTGTTGAGAGTTTGTGGAGTGAGGGAAGGCACTAGAGGATTATTTTTTTGACTAAAAATTTTCAAATTTCACCTAGAATCCCAGGGACTTGGGAGGGTGCATCAGGATTGCTAGCTCTAGGCCAGTCACAGCAGTTTAGTGAGACCCTGCCTCACAATTAAAAAAAAAAAAAAAAAAGGACTGAGAATGAGGCTTAGTGGTAGAGTGCCCTTGGGTTCAAGCCCAAGTACTACATAAGTAAATAAGAAAAAAACTCTTCAAATAATGATGATTAATGATGTTGAAAATTAAACTTTGTGCATGATTTTGGCCTAAAGAATACTGGTTTACATATATCCTTGAAAAAAAATTAGAGGTGGAACAAAGTAAGACTAATAAATGTTAGCAATTTTTCTTAGCATTATTACAGTTGAGTGAACTATAAAAGCTGTGATGTGGGAGAATGAAGCAAGCAGATAAAATTTTGGTGGAGAAAATACAAACTTGTGAATGGGCAATTGATATCAAATCATCTCCATAGAAGCCAATTTGCTGAGTCATCAGTTTGCCAGATTCACCCAGTTTATGGGATGTGGTTTTGAGACTTCAACAGGAATGTTAAATATTCTTATTGAACATGTTCACTTTTTGTCATGGACAAAAGCACTGTTACTTGTTTTTTTTTAAATTGAATATCTAACCCAAGGGCAATTTACCATGGAACCATGTCCCCAGCCCATTTTTTTTTTTTTTTTTTAAATTTTGAGACAGGGTCTTGCTTACTTGCTGAGGGTCTCTCTAAGTTCCAGACTGGCCTTGAACTTTGAAGTCCTCCTGCTTAAGCCTCTGGAGTAGTTGTGATTCCAGGTGTGTATCATGGTGCCATGCAGGGATTATGTATTTTTGAAAGTTCACCTGAATGTTGGTGTTTCTGAGCCTGCACTGGGCTGTTCACAGCCCCATTGTCACATAGCTCCATCCACAGGACCTGGTGTGTGCTGGGCTCTTTCAGTCATGGGTGTCTGTAGCAAGGATGAAGGGCTCAGATCACATGCTCTGAAGCCAAGTTTCATGTAAAGAATGTGAACTAGGAAAACAAACGAGATTGGACAATATGTTTGATGACTTAGGAAAATTATCCATGAGATTGGGCCATTTGGAGCTGATTCCTTGGTGTAAATCATGGAGTGAGCTCTGAGGAGATCCTGACTAGAGGGGAGAAAAGAATGAGAAAAAGGCAGTGTGGTGGGGTGCAGTGGGGTGGGGGGTGGGGATGTGTGTCCAGGTGGTTTTTGGAAGTAGTTTGATGGAGGAGGGGACGAAAGGTCACTTCCTGGTATGAATTCAGGCTACTGAGAAAAGAAGGAAATAAAGCTGATGGGAATGTTGAATTATTGGGGAAAAAGTAAAAGCCAGAGAAATCAATCTAAGGCCAACCTTTTAATTTGACTGTTAGAAGAACTCACCAAAATAAAATTCTGGTATAATATTGGACAACATGTTTCCACACCAATGCACCAACAAATTAAAAATAGATAATGATTTTATAGACAATAGAAAAGAAAAAAAAAACTTCTTATCTTTGACCTTTAAGAAAACCTCATACAAACCATCTTAATTGTAGTCCAGCTCAGTACAGAGACACTATAGTTAATGCAGTGCTGGGAATAAAATACTTCCTGTCCCTTTGCTCCTGAGGAGTGAACCAGGGGTCACTAACACTGAATGACATCCTAAGACTTTGATTTTTAATTTTTATTCTGAGACAGGGTCTGGCCATATTGCCCAGGAGTACTTTGGATGCCCTGCCTCAGCCACCTGAATTGCTGGGATACAGGTTTGGGCCATTGCAGCCCCTGTTTTCATTTTTTCCCCTCCTTTGTGATTAGAATGAACATGGTCACACCACAATAAAATCAGAACTGTTTGAAGGCTGGTTTGGTTATCTGTGATCATTAAAAATGCCTGACCCTATGGAAGTGTAAAAAATATAAAATGTAAATACAAAACGTAAATTTTCCTTTTTAAGGTATTTTGAAGGAAAAAGAAAAAAAAAGGTAGGACCCTTCTGTACTGCAATTCAAATTATGGTTTGGTTGAATGGTGGCAGAGCACATTACATCTGCTGGTTTACTGACCAAACTGTGCAGTAGGCTTCTCTACAGGGAAGTGACCATCTTTAGATTAAAATAGCAAGTGAAGGATGACCAGGTCAGGCGACTTTTAAGATTTTTAAAGAACTTTTCTTTCTTTCTCTTTTTGTTTTTCTGGTTTTGGTGCTGGGGACCTGACTAAGTGGTGCTTTACCACTGAGCCAGATCCCAGCTCCTTTTCATTTTCTGATTTTGATAGTCTCACCATACTGCTGAGTCTTGCTAACATGTGAGGCTCCAAATTGTGATCCTCCTGCCTCGGCCTCCCATGTCTCTGGGATTACAGGCCTGTACCACCATGCCTGGCTTATTTTTCCTTTCCTTGCTGTCTTGGCATCCTCATTGGTATCAATGTTGCCATAGCAGAATCTGTCTCTTAGGGTCAAAGTGA